TTTGTTAAATACGTTAAAAGATGGTACTTGTTGTTACTTTACCTTGCGCTCGGCCTTAAGGGGTTACACAAGAACTGGTCGGCTCGGAGTCAGTATACTGTGTATGAGTGGGGTATAGCCATTTTAAACTGCGGCAGGTATCTCAGTGGGCTAGCACTATAAAACCGGTATTGGACGGACTACACAAACACACACACACACACACACACACACACACACATCATATATGATGGATGCGCACTGCTTCGTGGTCCCTGCTGTCACTACATCTACTACGACTGCAGCTGCGACGGTCTCTACTACTACGTCGTACCACATCTTGTATACGAGGGCTAGTCAAAGTAGCAGTCATCAAGTTTAGCACTTTTGAGACAAGTACTCTAAAGACATTCATGACCGCATGTCACAAGCGTATGGGGATAAGTTCCCCAGCTATTCCACTGTTAAACGTTGGGCAGCTTTATTTAAGGCTGGGAGAACAAGCCTTGGTGATGACCCTAGGTCTGAACATCCCTCAACTTCCATCAATGAAGATTCAATCAAGGAGATAGAAAAACGTACACTGTCAGATAGACGTTTTACCATTGTTGAACTTGAGGATGGATCCTTTGAAACTATTATTCATGAACATTTACAGATGCTCGTTGGGTGCCAAAGTTTCTAAATTCTGATCTTGAGGAAAAACGAACTGATATTTCCAGGGAAAATTGAGATCTAATTGAGGAGAATTTTGTCAAATTCAAAAAGATATTAGTAATGGGTGATGACACACATGGGTCTACCACTAAGACCCCGAGTCGAAACGTCAATCCATGGAATGGCACCAAAGTATTAAAGTCTTCAAGATCAGTGAAGAAAGTTATGGCCACTGTATTCTGGGATACAAAGGGAGCGACCCTTGTTGATTACTTAGAAAGTCAACAGACTATTACCGGTGCCTACTGTGCTGATTTGCTCCATCGTCCCATCAAAGAAAAGCAGCGAGGAATGCTGACTGCTGGATTTCTACAGGAACTTCTTCTCACATCTCTCGTCTTGCAAAGGCCGCTGTACGACAATGAGGTTTCGAAGAGCTTCCTCAACCTCCATACACCAAGTGAATTCCACCCGCTTCCTAAACTGAAAGAACACCTTCGTGGAAAGCGCTATGACTACAACGGTGACATCAAAGCGTGAATAGGTTTTTCAGGGTGGTTTCCGAAAAATTCTTCCTGACTGGAATTGAAAAGCTTCACTATCGATATAAGAAGTGTATTGCAAAGCAGGGAGATTATGTTGATTTTTTTTTAATTTGGAACACTTTCACAATTGTTGGTTTTGTCTTTTAGGCTAAGAACTTTTTGACCAGCCCTCGTTCTATCATCGAGGTGTAGCGGACATATGATTGCGACGGAAATATTAATCACTCTCGAGACTATTTCTCCTTCTAACCTTCCAGACAAAAATTGTCACTTGGAAATTGGATTTGATCATAAACATTACACACACCTAACATAAACATTACACACACCTATGATACCCGTATGAAATGCATTACCATGTTTTGTAAATTGTTCATATCTAGCCACCATCAAAAATGGATGTGTATATGTTGTTTTACGCCACAGCTAACACAAAACTTGCATTACAGCGTGGACTATACTTGCATTACACCGTGGACTATACTTGCATTACACCGTGGACTATACTTGCATTACACCGTGGACTATACTTGCATTACACCGTGGACTATACTTGCATTACACCATGGACTATACTTGTCGTAAGAGGCGACTATACTTGTCGTAAGAGGCGACTATGCTTGTCGAAAGAGGCGACTATACTTGTCGTAAGAGGCGACTATACTTGTCGTAAGAGGCGACTATGCTTGTCGAAAGAGGCGACTATGCTTGTCGTAAGAGGCTACTAACGGGATCAGGTGGTCAGGCTCGCTAATTTGGTTCATGCAAGTCATCGTATCCCAATTGCGTGGATCGTTATTCATGATGTCAATCACTGGATTGTATGGACAAGACTCGATTATTTACAGACCTCCGTCATATAGCTGGAATATTGCTGAGTACGGCGTTAAACAACATATAAACAAACACACATGCACACACACACACTTATTCACTCACACACACACACACACACACACACACACAAACACATACACGCATACACACAATTCGTTTTCTAAGTGAAATAATCTTGAACGAGATGTTAAACTCCATTTTACCTCACCTCACCTCAAATGACACTCCAATACATTTTTCTTGAAGTTGAACTTAAAGAAGCATTTTGTTACCATGGTGATATCATCCAAAATCAATATATTTACACTTTTTATATAGAAATAATTGTCATAAAGATTAAGGCAACCATCTCAAAAAGTGATGCTGATCATTGTCTGTATGATTTGAACGTGGAGTCTTTATTATCAAATCCATAGTTTCTGTCATTTGGCAGATGACTCACGGGGTCATATGACATGTAAACAGCCACACAGTCTGTCAAACATCAGTATTGACAAGCGAAGATCTCTTTTAGATTTCTTTTTGTTTTTCAACCACTAACACATATGATACATGTTCGTATGTTTCATCTTAAATATCATGCTTTTTTGCCATAAAATCTATTTTCCCCCAATATTACGTTCACAGCGTGATCACATTTGAAGGTCCTCACAAAAGCAAATATCAAAGGCCGCGATGATTAGAAAGACGAGATCCATGTCGATTTCAGTGAAATGCACACGTTACATAAAGCCCTTTCATCAAGTCTTCTTTCTCGTGATGCACACGTGAAGCGCAGACTTTCACTCGTCCAGGACATATTTCCTCCTGTATTTAAGTTTTCAACCTTTTGTGATTGTCCCAAGATCACCGGTTACAGATCAAAATAGAAGTTAAATTTGTTTTGCTTTATAGATTATTTTCTTTGTCTGGTAAAGGGTCTTTACACTTTCACGAACATTTATACTTACCGGAACCAAGCGAATAAATCGTTATATTATTTTCGTTAAGAACCAATGGTTTGACTTTTACAACGGAGTCGAATCACCTTGCTATTGATCAAGATGGAGTGATTTGTAGAAAAAACAAGTGGACGAAGTTTGTGTGTGATGCGGGATGCCTGCAATATTATATTCATCATATCAGATTTATCTAAACATGGACTGTTAGCAAACACCAATAATAAATACGCGCTGTTTTATTCGTGCGAAGTCGGTGTTTTTAGTTTTAAAATGTTCTGGAAATATACGACATGGTATCATTATGGTATTTGATGGAAAGGCCATATTTGTAAATTCACTTATTCGTCACTGTACAAATACACTTCTCATGATGTTGTCACAAAACTGATTTTCAGGGGAGCGGGATTTTGGTTTGAGATCAACTTTTTTTTTAATGTTGGGATCGCAGTTATTTTCAACATTAACAGCTGCTCAATTATTACATTTTGTAAATGAATAAAAAAAACGAACTGTGTTCTTGGTGCACTTGTCTGGAAGAAATGGGCATATTATTTGTTTTGGTTCAAAGCCCCCTTGAAAATGAAATGGTTGCTCCCTCATGGATCTCCTCATTTTGGTTTGATATACGGAGCTGTCTTGGGGACAAAAAAATCACAGTGACTTATGATTTCACAGATCCTGTTAGCTGTCAACCGTTAACCTCTTTGATTGCCCGACACGATAGTGTCAAGTTTATACATGGTCTGTGACAGTTTGGGTAGAATATTGCTATTGGCTATGTAACTCGGAAAACGTATAATTAGCGTATTTGAACACTCCTAACAATTGCTTACTAACAGTGACTTTTCAAATCTGAAATAACACTCAATGTGTAAAAGAGCGTATACGTATGAGCTTCATTGTGAGCGAGTATGGTTTTACGCCGCTTTTAGCAATATTCCAGCATTATCACGACGAGGGACCGCGGAAAATGGGCTTCACACATTGTAGCCATGTGGGGAATCGAACCCGGGTCTTCGGCGTGACAAACGAACGCTTTAACCACTAGGCTACACCGCCGCCCCATGAGCTCCATAATTATAGTGACGTTATAGATATCTACGGAAGTCTTTTAGGGCCATTTGTTTGTTGGTGCTTTTTTTTGTTTTTTCTTTTGTTTTTGACATTTCAAGATACTAAGTTGAAATTTCAAATTATAATCTTCAAATTTCAACTTGAATTTTCAACTTAGTGTGTATCTTGAAATTTCAACTTAGTATCTTGAAATTTCAAGAACAAAAATATAAACAAACAAATGGCCCTAAAAGGCTTCCCTATATATATATATATCTGTGAGCACATGTGGCCTTGTGGTGTAAGGCGCCGCGCTGTGTGGCTGCCCACTGTTACGTCCCCTGGCTCTAATCCCAGATTCGCTGAGATGATGAATATGTTGGCTTTTCAGCAATATACAGTATACTCTCCGCCAAGTGAAACGTGAATGCCATTCATGTTGGTCAGTATATATGAAGAAATACTCATATTCAAGAGATATATAGATTTTTTCGATGTACAAACGAACTTATTGTTATGTTACGTGAACCGACGCTCATCAACGCATCATAGGTGACGTCATAGATCCATGACTCGAGACGCATCTTTACGATAGCGTCGTAATCACGTGCAGCATATCGTGATAAGAATAAGGACCGCCTGTGGTAACACTTGCCTGATGTTAGTTTTGTCATTAATTGGTACACGTTGGAAACATCTCTTGTTAACGTACATACTTGTCTATATGTTCCTATTCTTCGCGTTTCTTTTGCCGGTGAGTATAGTAATGATCCTGGGTTTCACCAAGGTGGTAAACGTCTGAGACCTGCATCACTTCGGGTTTTCCGCCCACATCAAACTGACATGCCGTGATGTAACTAAATAGTACTTACAGATGAGTAAACAACATTACTCAATATGATATATAATACCACGGAATGTCATACATTGTAGTAATCATTACATATGTATCTGTCGTTTGAATCACAGCTGTACTTATTTTTTCCAGGTGATGAGTGGCATATGGTTGCTAAGCGACATACTGTGTGACGCCTGGGTCGCTGCTGACGTAATGGCGTGTACCGCTTCCATACTCAACTTAACCGCCATTAGTGTAGATAGGTAAGTAAATACACGTAGTATTCCAGATAGTTGTTTATATTCTGTAAGTGCGGGGTTGGAGGGGGGATTTTGTCAGAGACAAAAAACTATTTCGTTTACTGCTTAAAGACTGCTATATACACCGGTTAGAATAGATCTTCAGCAACCCATGCTTGCTGTAAGAGGCGACTAACGGGGTCAGGTGGTCAGACTCGCTGACTTGGTTGGTGCCCGTCATCGTATCTCATTTGCGTAGATCGATGCTCATAATGTCAATCACTGGATTGTCTGGTCCAGACTCGATTATTTACAGACAGCCGACATATAGCTGGAATATTGCTGAGTGCGGCGTAAAACAACAAACAAAAAATATTCTAGTTTTCATTTCGTTGTTTGAAACAATTGTCTGGTAGTCACAGTGGTGGAACAAGCTGAACGCTTTCTGCAAAGAAATACACTTTATCGCAATGGACATGCTTGTGACAAGACGACGCGGGAATGGAAATCCTAAAGTGAGAGTGGTTTTTTAAAAGAGTTAGTTCCAAAATGAAAGAAATTTAATGTCATAGACATAAATTATGCCTTGAAGATCGCTCAAAGTTTTAGTCATTTATAAGAATAAAAAAACTATAGGATTGGCAATTAAAATGAGTAATTTTAATGTATATAAAGAATCAGTTGCAGTAAGTTATGATGAGTGGTAACTCAGATCTTACCAAAAAACAGTAGGACCGTTAATCAAAGGCTACACACAGATACGTGCGAACGACCCATCGTATTATTGTCAGGAAATATTTCACCTGCAGTGAATTCCCATCAATGGCACACACCGGGGGAATTGTTTTAAAAATATATTTTATGAATTCTGTCATTCTCTACTTACGCTCGTCCCTGTCTGGTCCGGGCGCGTCTGAAATGACAAAGTGATTTAGTCGTGAAATCACAAATGAGGTAAAAAATATCTATCGAATTCCGCAATAGATTGATTGTGTGCTCCTGGGGGAAATTTACTGTTAGAAAGGTGGTAATTGTTTCTTTAGTTTAATTAACTTTGGCATCTGCAGTGTATAAGGGGGAGAAGCAGATCGCAGAAATTCTACAACATAATCGATAGTTCTTGATCGATATTTAAACAGGTACCGAGACCGATTATTATGATTATAGAATTGTAATTAAGTAACGATTGCAATCAGAAGAAAAATAATCATCATAATCATAATTATCAACACCACCCTTTCCCGACTGCTTTGTATTTCAGAATTAGGGGTCTCGTTTGAGAAAATGTCGTAAATGTCTTGACTTAGCTAACAGATAATTGTTGGCGGATTGATGAATAGATGGAATCCCTGCGGTATTTTGATCATTCACTTTTTTACAGGAATGTTGAGGAATTATTTTTCGGCTCGACTTTTGTTTGGACAAAAAACCTATCCTGTAGGAACTACAAATGACTAGAGTTTCGATATAAAAAATGGATAATGAATGATTAAAAGTCGAAAAGGTTTGATGAGTGATCTTCACGGGTCCAATTAATCTTGTAGCAATTACACTTACATAACCTCGTGTCCACCTCATTGCCCCGAATTATAGGCTTGATAGATCTGATTGTGAGTGAGTGAGTGAGGGTCGGATTGTGGGAGTGAGTGAGGGTGGGATTGTGAGAGTGAGTGAGTGACGGGGGAATTGTGGGAACGTGTGAGTGAGTGAGGGACGGTCGGATTGTGGGAGTGAGTGAGGGTGGGATTGTGAGAGTGAGTGAGTGACGGGGGAATTGTGGGAACGTGTGAGTGAGTGAGGTTGGGTGAGAGTGTGGGAATGAGTGTGGGAGTGATGGTGGTGAGTTATAGGGTCATTGATTGAGTAAGGAATTTGGGCTGGATTGTGGGAATGAGTGAGTGGGGAGTTGGTGGGTTGGTGGTAGGTTGAGTGTGTGAGTGAGGGTTGATGGGTGGGTGAATGAGTGATCGAGTGAGTGAGTCGTGATTACCACCGCCTTGGAGGTTTTACTCGTATCACGGCGATGTAATCTTCATGTGGCGGGAATACCCAAATAATGGAGGTTAAAGACGTTTCCTACTATAGTGAAACCCACCAGCACGAGTGATGCTAACAAATCATGTAATTGTAGTTTGATCCAACGATCATAAGATTCTGGCACAACTAAGGGACATAACCCTGCAATTGCTTGTAACTTCATGTATATCAAGACCTTCTTCAGCCAACTTAGGCTAACTTTGTACTCTTGTATAGGGTCTTGTGGATAAGGGCGATCGGGTAGCCTAGTGGTTACAGCTTTCGCTCGTCACGCCGAAGACCCGGGTTCGATAGGCGACTGAAAAACTTACTCAAATTACAAAACATTCGTCACGAAAGCTGACATTTCCCAACTTCTTCCAAAATACGAAAGAAAAACTAAGTGAAAAATGGACCTGCTAGGTTTCACCTGCACAAACACTTACCCGCACAAAAAATTACATCATTTCCGAATCATTGTATTGTTTGACAAGTTATGCAGCGTTTCTTTTCCAAAAAATCCCTTCACTTCATCTAAAAAAATAGGTCGGTCCTTGACTTACGCGACGTACAGGTAACCGATTCTAATTCCTCGTATTCAATTTGTTTCAGATTCATCGCTGTAACTCAACCAATCAAGTATTCAAAGCATAAAAACTCTAAGCGAGTGTTTATCATGCTTGCTATGACGTGGATTATATCAGTAGCGATCGCCGCGCCTATTGCGCTCGGAGTAAACTACTCCGACAAACGCATTGCCGGTGTGTGTGCATTCTTTAACTCGGATTTCCTCATATATTCATCCATGGGCTCCTTCTACATCCCGTCACTAATGATGATCTTCCTTTATTGGAGAATATACCGGGTGCTGAGACAGAGGGCGAGGAAAGCCATGCGAGCCAAAAAGATCAAAACTGTAGATAAACGAACGCTCCAGAGTGTTATAGAAAATACGCAGGCCACCCAGGCCACGCAAGAACCTACTGTTACTACCGGGCTGGCGCGAATGGATAACGGTAAAGTAGCTTCTTATAACACTAATAAATCTCATAAATTAGCGCCTCCTGTTGTGGACGATACGTCTGTTACTAACGTTCCTTCCGCCTCTGACTCCCATTCCCATGACAACGAAGATGAAAGCGGGGGGAACGACGGTAGCGGGCCCAAAAGTCCTGGGTCCGATGACGGCATCATCCACAACGACGATATAGGAGGTGAGCTCATAGCCAATCCCGTAGCGGAAGCTATGGAGAAGCAGGAAGCCGATGGTGTGGCTACTACTTCCGGTCAGAGTGCCGGCACGGAAGCGGAAACGCCCTTCAATTCACCTGGTGCTTCAAAAGGGTCCACGCCAACGAAGCGTCGTTCTAGCGGTCGTGCGGCAGGAGCAGCAGGGCCCAAAAATCAGAAGGAAAATCACAAAAAAGGTGTGACAAAGTTTAATTTTCATATGAGGACTAGTCGGAAACGTAAGGAGAGATCGTCAAATAAACGTGAGAGAAAAGCCACGAAGACGTTAGCGATTGTTTTAGGTAAGCATGCCATATATGATTTGTTTCTTTGTTTTGTTGTTTAACGCCGCACGCAGCAATAGTCTAGCTAAATGTCGGTGGTCTGTAAGTAATCCAGTCTGGACCAGATAATCCAGTGATTGACATCATGACTATCCATCTACTCAAATGAGATACTGTGTAGAGGAGTCAGGGCCAACACGTCTCCATCAGACAGAACTGTAGCTAGGAGATCGTGCTGACATGCCTCATCCGTGTCTGGATCACCTCGGCTTAACGCGGGCAGAGTATTGAAGGGGGAAGGGACTACGGCCTGACAAGCTGTCGGGTGTAGACTTAGGGCTTCACTTAAAGTGCCAACATCGAGTCTGAGAGGGGCATCAGGCTAGACCATTCTCAGGAACATAAAGAAGACATATGGCTTAGGTTGTCTTGTATTTCTACGATAGTCGCCAGTGGCTGCGACAGAGCGACGAAGTGCATTTTTTATTCCTTGTTTCATGCAGGATGTAGGAGGTTGTTAGATGATGCTTTCTATTTTAAAACACTAACCAGAAGTAAAACAGAAGTCATGCTTTTAAAATATGATGATTGGATAATTAATGTGATCCAATATATGGTAACCTAGTGCTTAAAGCTTTCATCTCTCACACCAAAGACCCGTGTTTGTTTCCCCCTTGGTACAATACGTGAAGCCCATTTCTGGTGAACATCATCATGATATTGTTGGAATATACATGTAGCTCATATTAGCTTAAAACCAAACTCACTTACAAGTTCAGGAGGTCAAGTGTTCTAAGGCGTCTCAATACTCATTATTGGCAAGTTATACATAACATGACTCAAAGTGGTCAGTTTATCATATGTGTAACCGTGCTTGTGTTGGCCGATAATGGAGTAGGCGCTCTACTGGCCAAATAAATCACAAACAGCTGTCGGGGGTGAGGCTGATGACGTTTATTTTATAATCAGTACGAATGTACGTACTTAATTTCAGTCTGAAACAATAAAAGTACAACATAAGCAAATATAACATAGAATAAATATATACAATCCGTTATACATGTAGTTACTCTTTAAATTTCTAATATATATATATATCACTTCCATTAAAATGAATAGCACTTACTTTACATTACACAATACATCAGACGTATCCGTACAATACATCAATACACAGATACAAAATATATTAATATGATATAGAGTGATAACGAACATTACATACCAGATAGGTGATACCTGAACTGGTAATACCGTGACAGTGATCGAACGGTGAATGTTGCTACTGAGAAATCTGCATAATAAAGAAATACAAATGCAGAATACTATATACAAGTGATATCCTATGGTAAAATAGTGTATAAAAATATATAGTACAACAGCCACTCATTTCAGACATACAACACTCATACACTCGCACTTACCAACATACATCAAGCATACAGACATACATTTACTTTCCATTACTGTCCAGAGGGGTTTATATTACTTAGTTTATATATAAATTTAGGTTTTGTGTTTAATACTGTTTTATACAGATAATAATTACTCACTGAACTGTAAGTTCATCAAGCACTATAAATATATACAAGATGCATTATGTTTCTAATAAATCAAATAAAGAATGCATTCTACAATATATATTATTTCTAATCACAATAATTAGAAAACATCCATATATACAATATCATAAAATAAATAACCAACTAACCTCAAATATGAATAAATCCTTTCACAAATCCAAATCCTCACATGATAAGAAATCGGCAATAAATCCCGCTGAGTCTATGGTGTTTCCTTGAGGTAACAAATAGCAACAGATCTTTTAAAATTCAACAATAAACATTGCTGTAGCTATGACCAGCTTGGCCTATCAACAAGACAATAGACTGGGCCGGGGCGCGCTGGGGCAAAGAGTGCTGTAAGTCAAAAGCATGCAGTGTGACAATTAGTGGAAGTTAGACTGAGGGTAAGCTTACTTAATGTTACAGAGCTATGGAATGAATGTTTAAGGTATAAAATACTAAGGTATAAAACATAACTAATATTATAACTAATAATATATTCTTATAATGTAAATATCGTAACAAACTAATTAGTTAAAATGGTAACAAGGCCATATAACCTTACTACTTACTAATAAATCTTAATTAAAAGTATGTACATAAATGAGCCTGCCACATATGTATCGAAATACACACTCATGACAGCAGGATTAAGAAATGTGGTCAAGGACCCCCTCAATCACTCCCTACCCTTTCAAATGGTTCCAGTTTGAAGACCTGTGGTCAAGCTGTTTATTCTCAAATCCAACAAATCCCTGCAATGACTTGGGAAGCCATGTATCTCCAGTAAGCTTGATAAAGTTCCTAACTATTGCATGACAATTCCTAATCTTTTTAGTCTGTAATTAAGTAGATTCTTATTTGACGAAGCCCACACCAACGATCCTACATTTCTCAACCGCCTTGTCCTGACACAAAAGAAACCATAATACCGTCTGAACATAACAATCGGAAATACCTTTGTATTCCCGCCAGATACAAAGGATGCCCCCCGAGGGAGAGGTCCAACGAGAGACTGTAAAAATAACAATTTTCACTGCCCTACTTCACGGTAGCTATTGGCTCTGTGGGGTTTCATCTCTGCATTGACGCCACGTGTTGAGCACAATGCGTTGTATGTTGAGGGCTTGCAGACAAATCTGACTGAGACAACAATTGCCAGGTTGATATCAAACTTAATTCAGGGCAGCTGATTCTGAAGTGGCTATTGACTTTTTACGCGGATGACGAAAGTGGCAATTAAAGGTGTGCTTGTTGTTCCAATGTATTCCTGTTCTCACAATTAGTAATATTGTGAACACCTGCAGGTTACGTGCATGTCAAAGCCGTGATGTATGTCTTCAAGTGAACTATATTGCTTTGACGATAACAACGATAGAACTGCCAGCAGCTTATCCAACAAGCAAGTCAGGTTTAGATCCCTCCTCATTTCGACATCTGTTATTAAATAGGCAGTGGTCATCAGACTGTTTCCGTCTTCAAGGCTGAGTTTCGGTCAGTTTGGTTGTCCATAGCTTGTTTCCAAATCGGTCATGAGTTGGTCAGTCTGACTGTTTACAGCTTATCACCATCTGGGGGTCGTACTGATTTTTCTACATATAAACGTCAAGTAGGCCAAGAGCGGTAGTAGAGGCGGAAGCTTTGGTTGGGTAGGGAGAACATTGTTTCCTAGATTGGCCTCACTGACATTTCAGTGAGTGAGTGTCGTTTAACGCCACTTCCAACAATATTCTAGTTATATCCCGATATGTTAGCATGATGTGGTAGGAAGGCCCCACACGGACAAACAGTATGCACATTACCAATGAAAACCAATTACCAAGAAAATGTGAATAAATATGGGCAATAGTAGTGAATAGTGGTATTAGATTTATCCTAGTACACACTAAGGGCGGGGGGGGGGGGGGGTAGCCTAGTGGTTAAAGCGATCGCTTGTCACGCCTCAGGCCGAGGTTCAATTCCCCACATTGGTACAATGTGTCAAGCCCATTTCCGGTGTCCCCTGCCGCGATATTGCTGGAATCTGCTAAAAACCAGAGTAAAACCCTACTCACTCACTGACCCCAGCTACAAACTACGTTCATAGCCCCGTGATCTAAGTGTGCAGGTCTAGGATCCTCAGATAATGGTTTTATTGTAAGGCTTTCCCACATTATGCTCCTTGTTCTGTGTACAAAATATTGTTCACTGATTTGACCAAGTGGTAAATGTCCTCCAGCAGGACGCTAAGACGAGATGTCACTGACACTGACATACTGTCCAAAGTAGAATTAAATGAAACATACTCCCAGTTTGATTCCTCTCTTTGGCATAAAATAAGACCCCCAAGTCTTGTTGACTGATTATTTTGCAAGAATACTTCTAATACAGCATTTAACCCTAACCACTGACCGATACGAATAAATGATGTGTCAATACTGTTGAATGAAATATATGAACATTTAATAGTAATGTGTTCTTTTTTCTGTTTTCAGGTGTATTTTTAATTTGCTGGTGGCCTTTCTTTACACTTAACATTATCAACGCCATCTGCATACGATATGACCTTGAGAATCACCCTGTGTGTAACCTTGACCCAATGTTATTTAGCTTTTTTGTGTGGTTGGGTTACATGAACAGTTTTCTGAACCCTGTTATCTACACAATATTTAACCCTGAATTTCGAAAGGCTTTCAAGAAACTGCTTGTTCAACCATGCAAATAACTGCACTGTGACCTTGACCTTTGAAAAATGTGCCCTTCACCTTGCTATGATCCCATGCTGCTACAGATGACCCGTGTGGCAGTGAAATGGGCCAAGTGATCTGGAATGGTTCTTGTCCAAGAATAATCATTTTGTGTGAATTCTTCATGAGGAAACAGACAGCAGCTTCGTTGAAGGACATGCCAAATGGACACAACTGCCTGACACCTTAACTGTATGGACGCTTATGGTTGAGGAACATTATCTGTGTTAGTGTTATACTAGAAACTAGTATAGTGTGGGCAATTATGCATTCGTTTGTGGATCCAAATTTGCCATGACTGCCGCCGTCACCTGCTATAAATGCAGGACTGTTGTTCTACCCTTCAGACTTGCATTTTGTTATGACATTACATGGATGTAAGGTTGGAGTTGTATATTTGTACGATTGCCAGTTACTTTTTAAGTTATGTGAAAATGCATCATCAAATGGCATATATTTGAATGAAAGTATTTGAACTTGTTTGAACAACGCTTGGAGGAAGATATTTGCTGTTCAAAAAATAACTTACCATTCTGGCTTATGGAAAACAGCGAGACAGTAACACACAACATCAGACACATTATTTTTGCTTTTATAAGGGTTTCGTTTCATATATATATATATATATATATATATATATATATATATACCGTGATGATAAATCTGAATCAAAGAAAAAGATACATCCATATAACAGCTTCATCTGATTTCATGTTATGATGTCATCAAAACAAATAAAATACTTTCAGAGATCAATACTTCACATAATAATTTCAAAAGGGATAATGATTTTTTATTTATGATAAATGTCAGCCTCCAGCGATGTTACATGCGTCATATCTTATAAGGTGGACCCCTTCCTGGTTTTGATTTGAGAAATGTACAAATACATGTTCATATCTGAAATATATGCCAGTTGAGGGATAATTGTTTTTCGTTGTTTATTGGTTTATTTGTCTATAATCTACACATAATCTTCATGAATGGTCATTTTTCGTCCTAGAGTTAAATGCAATCGTAATAACCCAACAATCCATGGCATTTGCTCAAATGAATCACGTCATAAGAGGATCAAGCAATATTTTTCTAAGGAAGCTGGACAACGCGTATCAATATCACCAGTGTTGTCCATAGACAATGTGTCATTGTTAATCATCATATATACTCATTAATATCAGAGTTGATAGTAAAGATGGATAAAAATAGAATTGCTCCATATGTAGACAGTGTGGGAACATGGATAAGACAGTGTGTAGACACATTAAAAATGGATTACAGGATCAACACACACTTATATCATGCAAGAGGAGGTTATGCTATGTAACAAAATCTCTTTATATAAAGGATAACATGGGGGTAGGTAGTTTGGAAAATTGAATTGCCATTTTGTTTTTGTTATGGCATGTTCAGGTATACAAGATTTTATCTGATGAGTCATATACTACACAATGAAATACAAGGTCATCAGTTATTTCATTAAGCATGCCATCATCCAAAAGGACCTCAGCTGACTTTTCCAAATCCTGTCAAGGATCAAAAAGGAAAATACTGACTATGGACAAATCCTAAAATAACTTGTTTACAGTAATACTCTTTTTGATGTTATGTAAATTCAATATATATATCATTTGTACAATGGTAATGTTTATCTGTTATGAATTGTTAACATAGTTAATATATTGTTAATTAGAAGAATGTAAATAAGCAAACCAAAATGATTTACTTACTCTTACACATCTCTCTGGTTCATAGACAATATTGATGCCATGAGGAGCCATGGTGGGCTCTTATTTAGATAAACTGTAACGTGTTGGCGTGGGAATCCAGAGACCTGTCTTTGATATAGTGTTTGCTAGATCCAGGGCTTTGTAATATAAAGCCTTAAGTGGTTTAAGAGGCAATGACAGATGCGTGTCATGACAGATGCGATTTAGGATTAATCTGAAGTGTACCCTCCTGTAGGTCTCTTTACCAGCAGCCATGCTTAGGACATGGAACCAGAAAATGGAGATGTCTTTGGATGCAATCATACATTGGTGGTGTTATATCGGCTGTGATATATATTCCAACATTTCAGTCAACATATCATCTGTCCCCCCTTCTGACTGACGACCCCGGGTCAGTGGGGGACTGAAAATATGTTTTGCACGTGCAAAATGTCCAAAGTATATTTTAAGCATGTTTTGCACGTGTAATATACCACTGAAAGATTAAAGTCCTATTTGGCACGTGCAATCCTGTTACTGCTTTGGACAAAAGCAGTGTATGTCTTGCGCGTGCAGATTTTCACAGTTGAACGATCGTGTATTTCATGTATTTCAGGTGCAAAATATCACAATGAAAGTTTAAGCTATATTGAATAAATAATGAGTGACAATTTCAAGCCATGTTTTCAGGTGCAATACCTTCCCAGTACCCGCATTAATGAGCTGCTGCCTGAAATAAACAATAAACATATTAGAAAATAAGAAGAGTAATTTCCTGCCTAAATTGAAAATGGCTATATTTCGAATCATTCAGTTTAGTGTTATGTAAACCAATGGAAAGGAAACCCAATTGCATTTGTAACATTGACTAAAATGCATATATGAACTAGTATTGACGATACCAAGGACCAGTAAGTTACCACCCCATGACTCTTGGGTGCAGTTCTGGAAATCCATTTTCAAATGTTATTTCAAAAATAGTTATTAAACTTGATAGGCTGTCTTCGTTGTCTATTGCACTCTGTAACTGACAACATTGTTGTTGATTGCATACAGGTTTATGCTGGAATACAAGTTTCCTGTGCTTTTCTTGACTCTTCTAACTCCCTGTTTGTACGACAAGATTACAGCAGGCACATGCGCTTATCGTTCACGTTTAAGAATAAAATAATGTTATATAAACACGAACTGTTTTGTTTTCAATGATTAGATGTATTACTCAATACTCAGACCAGCACAATTATGGCCATGCATTTAGATAGGCATGTATGTGAGGTTATTGAAGTATGGATATGTTTGTATAAGTATAGATTTCAGTTTGTTGAAGAATGGCTATGCATGTATTGAAGTATGCATTCATGCTTGTTGACACCACATGCATGTGTATTTCTCAAAGTATGGGTTTTACGTTTGTTACAGAATGAACAATCATTTGCTGAAGTATTGATAAGCATTTATTAAGTATAATGTATACATTTGTTGAGGTATGGATATGTGTTTGTTGAAGCACTAATGTCCGCTAACTACATCATGGATAAGCCGTTGTTAAAGTATGGATATGCGTTTGTTGAAGCACAAATGTCCGATAACTACACCATGGATAAGCCGTTGTTAAAGTATGGATATGTGTTTGTTGAAGCACAAATGTCCGATAACTACACCATGGATAAGCCGTTGTTAAAGTATGGATATGTGTTTGTTGAAGCACAAATGTCCGCTAACTACACCATGGATAAGCCGTTGTTAAAGTATGGATATGTGTTTGTTGAAGCACAAATGTCCGATAACTACACCATGGATAAGCCGTTGTTAAAGTATGGATATGCGTTTGTTGAAGCACAAATGTCCGCTAACTTCACCATGGATAAGCCGTTGTTAAAGTATGGATATGTGTTTGTTGAAGCACAAATGTCCGATAACTACACCATGGATAAGCCGTTGTTAAAGTATGGATATGCGTTTGTTGAAGCACTAATGTCCGCTAACTACATCATGGATAAGCCGTTGTTAAAGTATGGATATGCGTTTGTTGAAGCACAAATGTCCGATAACTACACCATGGATAAGCCGTTGTTAAAGTATGGATATGTGTTTGTTGAAGCACAAATGTCCGATAACTACACCATGGATAAGCCGTTGTTAAAGTATGGATATGTGTTTGTTGAAGCACAAATGTCCGATAACTACACCATGGATAAGCCGTTGTTAAAGTATGGATATGTGTTTGTTGAAGCACAAATGTCCGCTAACTACACCATGGATAAGCCGTTGTTAAAGTATGGATATGTGTTTGTTGAAGCAGAAATGTCCGATAACTACACCATGGATAAGCCGTTGTTAAAGTATGGATATGCGTTTGTTGAAGCACAAATGTCCGCTAACTACACCATGGATAAGCCGTTGTTAAAGTATGGATATGCGTTTGTTGAAGCACAAATGTCCGATAACTACATCATGGATAAGCCGTTGTTAAAGTATGGATATGCGTTTGTTGAAGCACAAATGTCCGCTAACTACACCATGGATAAGCCGTTGTTAAAGTATGGATATGCGTTTGTTGAAGCACAAATGTCCGCTAACTACACCATGGATAAGCCGTTGTTAAAGTATGGATATGCGTTTGTTGAAGCACAAATGTCCGCTAACTACACCATGGATAAGCCGTTGTTAAAGTATGGATATGTGTTTGTTGAAGCACAAATGTCCGATAACTACACCATGGATAAGCCGTTGTTAAAGTATGGATATGCGTTTGTTGAAGCACAAATGTCCGCTAACTACACCATGGATAAGCCGTTGTTAAAGTATGGATATGTGTTTGTTGAAGCACAAATGTCCGATAACTACACCATGGATAAGCCGTTGTTAAAGTATGGATATGTGTTTGTTGAAGCACAAATGTCCGCTAACTACACCATGGATAAGCCGTTGTTAAAGTATGGATATGCGTTTGTTGAAGCACAAATGTCCGCTAACTACACCATGGATAAGCCGTTGTTAAAGTATGGATATGCGTTTGTTGAAGCACAAATGTCCGATAACTACATCATGGATAAGCCGTTGTTAAAGTATAGATATGCGTTTGTTGAAGCACAAATGTCCGATAACTACACCATGGATAAGCCGTTGTTAAAGTATGGATATGCGTTTGTTGAAGCACAAATGTCCGCTAACTACACCATGGATAAGCCGTTGTTAAAGTATGGATATGCGTTTGTTGAAGCACAAATGTCCGCTAACTACACCATGGATAAGCCGTTGTTAAAGTATGGATATGCGTTTGTTGAAGCACAAATGTCCGCTAACTACACCATGGATAAGCCTTTGTTAAAGTATGGATATGTATTTGTTGAAGCACAAATGTCCGACAATTACAGCATGGATAAGCCTTTGTAAAAGTATGGATATGCCTTTGTTGAAGCATTATTATGTTTTTATTAAAGTATTGTTTTGAAATTCTTGAAGTATTGACATACATTTGTCAAAATATGGATATTCGTTTTTATAACTATGAAGTATGTATTAGTTTTTTAAAAACTGTTAAGAATGGATACTCATTTATTTGAGTAGACTGAAAGCGAACGGGAATGTTTGTGAACCCCCTCAGTAAGGGGTGTCCCAGTGCAGTCTTTCAACAATGCGAAAAACATCTATGTTTCATATCTGTTTCAAGAAGCATGGTGGTCCAGCAATCAAAGGCTCCACAATTCCCGCTTGCGTCACGCTTCCTATAGTGAAGTGAATACTGTTTAGCGCCGTATTAAGAATATTGCAGCTACATGTATATCACGGCGCTCTCTCAGTTATGATGCTTGGTCGAGCATCACCATTCCTCTAATCGTTTGAATTACAAAAATCTTAAATGTGCTGGTGTGTCAGTTGTCATAATGAAATACAATGTATGTGTCTCTACACTCTC